ACCCATGGTTATATTATATCACAGAAGGGATTTTTATGTCATCCAAAATGATATATACTAAAAAAATTTATCTATTTTAAACAATGACTCTTTGAGCCTACTCAGAATTTTAGGTGATAAGCTCTTTTTGTCTCATTCGATAATTTAATGAATGAAATCGAGCAAAGTGTTTTGGGCAATATCCCGTAATAGATATAATAGATTTTTTACAGACACCGTAAGGAAATTTCTTTATATTTTTCTCATGTAAACTTCAATGTCTGTAATAACCTGTAGGTCGTCAGCATTTGTTTTCACAAACAGAACCATCCCTTTTAATATGGGAGCAGATAGTACGATCCATGAAAGTATTTTAGGATGTGATATATATATAATATGTATAAGATTCAAATATAAATTCTGATTTAAATATTTTGAATATATAATGAGATAAAATATCTCTATGTACTAATATCATATATACTATATATCGCACTAAAAAAATGTATAAAATGTATATCCAAGAGCTGAAATATAACAAAGAAACGATTACCTCAGATGAGTTATTCAAATTGCCTAGACATTCAAAAAAGCCAAAAATCTATAATCCCAAAATGAATCGCATGATTGTAATCAATGGGCCAGCATATAATAAACTGTTATATAATAATTATATACATTGGAGAGAAGAAAGACTTTTGATTCCGCCATTCAATGAAATACCAATACTAAGAAAATGTCTATTGATTATATCTAATAAGATTTGGAATATTGTTGCGGAAAAAAGTCTTCTTACAAAAATCGATGGGAAAGTAAGCTTACTAGAAATCCTGTTTAAGGCAAACTGGAATGAATTCGCTATATGTAATTTGCTAAAATTATACTGGAATAGTAGAGAAATGAAGGAATGGAGAAATAATATACTTGCAAGATTCCTTTATCATTCAAATTTAATGTCATCAAAGCATAAACCGAATGCCTTATATGATACATTCACCAAGGTAGACGTTTTAGAGCCAGAGCATATATTAATTCTAGCTTGGGCAATATACTAAAAAATAAGATTAAAGACCTATTACAAGGTAATAAAACACAATATCCAATTAATATAGCCTGGGATCCTACCTCCAAAGCTATATGCACTACGTATATGCGAAGCAAAATTTTTTTCGTTATATTCTATGTATTGGTAAATTTTAAATTGACGTCCTGGTTACCTTATTGGTAGCCATATACTCTCTTTTTCTGAGTATAAAATGAAAAGGCATAATTAATTTCGATTTGAAAAAATATATTCCATAGTGTATATTACCTAAAGAATTGTTCATAACCTACTCGACTTACTATAGCATTTAACCATGTCAGCCATCGTAACAAAAATCATTGAAAAATACAATCTCAGCTACAAGACTGATACATCTGAACTTAGTCAATATACCTCCAAGTTTCTCAAGGATCTTACAGACGATAGAAAAAGGAGTCAAGCACGCAGACGTCTTCGGGGTGGCTTTAAATTTAGTAGCGAGCAGGTGAGTATATTGATACCTAATCAGAGAAGCGGTAAAAACAAAACTATAAATATCGTCAAAGGTAGTTACAGAATAGCTATAGCTTCACCCCCAAAAAATTTGAAAGAAGAGATCATCAGAGAAATAACTAAACGAATCTTACAGAATAGATATGGTTTTAGTGGAGATCAAGTGAATGCCTTATTCTCTATTCAGAAAAATGTCGAACCCAAAAGTGAAACCATAAACATTTTTATTTCTAATCGAGTCACACAAGAAACAATTGGAGAGATGGCACATCGGCTTTTACGAGATAAGCTTAATATTAGAGATATAAGAGCTGAAGCTCATGCCTTAGCCCTATTCGCATCAAACGCCAATGGTGGTTCATCACATCTTTCACGTCTTCGTAGAGAATTAAGGAACCTCAATGTATTACTCGAGATAATTGAGACTACGAAATTTTCAGATATTACAGAAGAAGCTAACAAAATCCAGAGAGTTAATCAGAAAAAGGCTGAAACTAAATGTATTGATTATCCAGATGAATTTACATTAGAATTAGTTAAGGAACGATTGGATGGTTATACTACATCTAATTCGCCTGATTTACAAGCTCTTGCTGATGTCATGGTGATACTTTGTATTTGCCCCACTGAACTTATAACTTTACGTATTACAGATGCTGAAGTAACAAGTTATGCAAAGAAGAGGGGCCAACCAGATATTCTTAGAAAATTTAGATCTATGGAAAAGGATCAAGAGTGAGCCAAAGAATTACTAACCTGAATACAGAATTTTATATCTTCTGGTCGAATGGGCAATCCAGGTAAACCGGGAGCTAAATGGTTCAATATATTCTTGAAAGATTATGATTTAATTCCTAAATACTTATGTAAATTAGGAGCAGTTTACGGTGCAGTAGTTCATAAAGCTGAGAACCCAACTAACGCCTATACCATTGCTGGAGAATGTCTACGTCACAACCCCGATAACCATACTTCTCCTGTGCAAAATTACGTTATAGTAAATTACAGACTCAGAGGAGTTCCTTATGAGCAAGCAAGACCATTCTATATCTACGATGAAAATTAATTACTAATCACGCTTCTTTACTTTTGATACCTATTCACTGATCTCAATATCAGATTCAGAGTCTTGCTCCGACTCAGATGTGGATGGGAACTCAGATGCGGTATCATTAAAAATTTTCTTTTTTCTTTTAGCCTTGCATGGTGTACATTTTCTTCGAAAAATATTTGGATTTGCTACTAAGTCAATAATCTCTAGCCCAATCTCGGGTTTCACTATCTTCAGTAATTGGCAAATAGAAATCTGAATTTTTTTACCCAATACTTGTTTAACAATACCAGATATCGCTCTATCAGTAATATGGCTCTTTAGAGTCGTCCCTTTGGCCCTAGGTATTCTTTTATGCGGCTTTACACTATCTATTTCCAAACTCATCTCCTTTGCTTTTCCACAGGTGATAACTGGACATTGTCCACCTGAATTGAATATACTTTCTATATCTTTGCCATTGGCCATGCCAGCTCTGCTGATATTAATCACATGTGATTTTAATTGTCTTTACGTAAGGTTAGCCAATTCTTCATCATAGTCGATTTCAATAGTGGGACTAGTGCCTTGATACATATTTTTTGATCTATCTCTGCTATTGTTATTATCCTCAGTCATTGTAAATGTTAAATCATTATTAATACGAAGTAAAATATATATTATATATTAATATATTTTCAAAAAACAAATAATGCGAGGATCTTTTTCAGAATATGGCTCAAGGGATACTATCAATTAGCTAGAATTATATTCGAGCTCTCTGGTTTCTGAACCAGAAAAGTCTAAAGATATTCCACCACCTATACAACTTGATTAGTTTGTAGATAATTATTTCAAAATGATGAAGTTATATGCTACGGCATTAGGTTTGAACTTAGATAACCAAGACCTTAAGAAAAAATTCTTCAACGGTCTATCATTAGAAAATAAAAAAGATATGATCTGGTTCGAATTTAAAAAACCTCTGAATGTAATAGTCGATCACTTGAATAGAATTTCATCAGGACTCATCGATATGCAGAAGTTTCAATTTGAAGGTTTAAGACAAAATAGTAAATCGATAATAGAATATTACAGGAAAGTAGAGAAATGTGGTAAATTAGTCAAATACAATAGAGAACAGCTTAGATATTTCTTTCTTCGTGAATTGTCACCCGATAATCAGATGGAAGCCAGAAGATGCAGATTAGAGTTTTCATTGGATGAGCTAGTAGAGAGATTAAGCACATTGGAAAGACTTGCCAAATAAGTAAGAGAATATGTAATTATCCAAACATGTGTCTTTTCTGATTAAATATATATTATAATATACAACTTAAGAATGGCACAACTATTGCAGAACAATGATCCAAAGGGTCTAAATATTTTTAATTTACCGGAATTACTAGTACAGATCTTATATTTTTTAGAAATCGATCGATATCTCTATCTTGCTTTATTTGTAAAACGCCTTTGGTACCACTGCTATGTTCTATTCTATGACGAACGTTGAGTTTTTTACAGAAAATGATTATCAGAGGAGTTGGCTTGGTCAAAAGATGCCTCGAACTCTTATCCGGCAATTGATAAATTTTAAAAAAGTTATGTGTAGAAAAATAAAGCCAACCTATTGCTTTAAAATGGTATATCTCAGATTAGAAGGTTTGAAAATCTCAAATGTATTGATTAGTACGATTCTATGCTCATGCCCAGATATACGCACTCTCATTCTTGATCGAAGTGTTAATTTTTCTAATATACCTATTATAGAAATTACAAGATTTTGTTCGAAATTAATACACCTAAGTCTTAATTCATGTAAATGCCTTACTAATCGATGTATCACTGAAATAACATGTTCATGCTCAAAACTTAGACATCTTGAGCTTGACAACTGTTCAATTGGTAATGAAGCTATCGAGAAGATAGCTGGCAACTGTACTAATTTGAAATATCTTAATTTGAAGGGGTGTAGAAGGATTAGCAATGAAGTGCTGAAAAAAGTCAATTCGAAAATTAAAATCGAACATTTAGATTATTCAGATGATGAATTTTTCAATTCTGATTCACCTCCACTTATTCCAATCTTTACCGGTCGAGAAAATAGGATAGCTATAACCAGCCCCTTTAGAGACTACTATTTGAGTCATATATCAGATGAAACAGATCTTATTTCTGCAATTATTAATTATCTCAGAGAGAATCCTCCAACACGGGTTATAAATAATCACATTTATTAGTGAAGAATGGGTAATTGATTTTCCGTTTAACAAATTATATTAACCTAATATAAGAAAACAAGTCAGCCTATCCATCTGCCATATTTAATTTTTTCATCTAGCTTAAAGGATTGTGCGTCCAAATTTGAGACAGACTCTTTTGATCTTGAGAATGTATAATTATTTACTGAGTTATTTTTTCAGTTATAATATACATCATTAAATAATATTTGATATGATTTTCATAGAGACACTTGTAGAAGGAAACATTTCAGTTAAAGCGTTAATTGATATAACATCTAAATCCAATACTATTAGCAAGAGCTTATTCGATAAGCTTAAAGAAGATTATGAGTTGGAATGTTTATCTGGCAATGAATTAATCGGTAAAGAAATAAAAGGCTTAGATTTGCAATTTCGTTATAAAGGTAAGTGGCGAAGCTTAGATGATACCGAAGTAATAGACTTTCAAATTCGCAAAAATCCATCGTTCGATCTGGTATTAGGACAAGATTAGTTATGGACGCATGAAGCAAAAATAAGCTTTAAATTTTCTCCTGGAACATATGAACAATATGGTATTATTACAGACCCGAAGAATCATTGCTTTGTAATAATAGATGGTATGAGTATCCCATTAATCGAAGAAGGTAGCAGTCTCACAGGTGATTCTCTGAGTCATAAAACCAGCTCCACTAAAAATAACTTATCTAAATTAACAGAATCTAAACCTGGTCTAACCCAAGAGGAGGTTGTAAATATAATTAATAAAATTCTCTCAGGTGCTCAAAATATTAAACACCAAAAGAGCCATCGCAGAATATTTCACAATATACCTCCCGCACCTCCAACATCCAGAAGATTAAATGATAATGTACTCAAAAATAGCAGAGCTAGCAAGAATAAGAAATATTCTAAAGTAGATTTAGACGATGGGTGTGGAAAGCTTTCATTAAAAATGTACCTTAATAATATTCGGAAATCAGTTTATTCTATAGAAAATAATATAGAGTATGGAGTTTTTGATAAACTTCGTATTATTAAATATGAACTAAGTTGTATAAATAAAAGTAAGCTATCATGGGTAAAGTCAGATTCTTCAGATACTTCAGACTCAAGTGATTCTTCTTCATCTAGATTGCGATCAGAAGTTATAGATACATATATGACAACACCCATTAAGAAACGTCCTACTAAACGAAAAATTTGCAAAGTGAAAATGCATAATATCTAAACTATACATGTTCCCAAAATTGATTTTAGATTTTTGAGGTATTTCGACTTTTTGAGATTTATGCAAAATCTATTCTATATATGGAAGTAAAAAAAATATCTAGTTATATGTATCTTTAATCAAAGAATAAATCTGAGTGGTCAAAAAATTTCAGATTTTAAGTAAAATAATTTTGTTTTTTATGAAAAACTATTTCAACTTTTTTTCTCGAAATTGTAATTTCAGAGCTCCAAAATAATTTTGCGTGCAAGTATAATCTAAACGTTAAACATTTTTCCCAAATTTGAATCAAATAAATGGATGTATATATGTTAACATGGCTAAGTCTCAAAACAATATGTGTAAAATGATGGGTGAATTTACTGACAGTTCATTCCAGTATATACAATTATTAAATCAGAATAAATATGAGCACACGTATAATCCAGGAAATAACTTCGTGGTGGTTGAAAATAAAAGTAAGGGAAGTATAGTAGGTGTATTTGATTATACTGGACTATACGTATATTTGGAAATGCATCATCCAACATTTCTGGCATAATTTCATTTTGTAGTAAGATATTCAAATCATGTCCTTGCGTTGTAACTTCAATTATGATAATCAGATTTTTACGTATTACGTATCACGTTTCTATTTTCTGTGATTGAAGCATATGTTTAAGATAACGTGGCATGCAGAGTCATCATGAGGGAGTTAATGTGATACTAGTTGATCAAAGTTAATCACGCACAGATTAAGAATGAAAGAGGCGAATGCAGAATGAATATTATTTCGGATAAATTGACAGAACAAAGATTCTTTTGATATAATTGATCACAAATGTATGGTGCTGACAATTTCAAACTATAAATAAAGTTGCAATTAACCATATTTAACGAAGCAAGCACAAGGTACTAAAACTTGCTCTTTATTATTATAATGGGAATATACCGAAAAGTTTATATACATTTTTTTTTGCATAGATATCTTTATAACGTGATTCATATATTCTAGCATCTTCTAGTCTTTACACGAAATAAATGCACATCGATATGTCCCACATCAGGAAATTTTTAAAGGCGAAATATTTCGAAAATTTTTGCCTCGTTAAATTTTTGGAGTTATACGACACCTTCATAAATTTTCGAAAAAATTTTCGAAAATTTTCGAACCGTAAATCTCTGGAATTTTTTGTTTCATTTATTTTCGAAAATTTTTGCATATATTTTCGTAAATCTCCGTTTATTTTCG